TAATTAACCAACTTGTTCGGAACATACTGAGAAGATTCTTTGGAGATGATGCTAATAACTCTAATGTAACGGAAAAATCAGTTGAAGGAAACCTGGACAATCACTCAGACAGTAGTGAGGAGTTTAGTGATACGTTAACCACTTCTCGAGATTACCTAGCAAAGTTGCTTTTCTGGTTAGTACATTTTATTTTCATTGTCCTTTTTAAACTGTTAGTGTAAATTTGAATGATTCATATTCTAAAATTAATTACAAACATTATTGTTATCAAAACTTGATTATCCATTGAACCGGTGAAAACACCACATTTACATTTCAAATAAGATTTGAATCAATAATAAATAAATGTTAGAAAAATATTTATTCATAAACTAATATAAAATTATCTTTTAAATATTTATTAGCCGGTTTGACCCAATTTATGAACAATGATATACATGATTCTTAAAATTTGACCCAATTTATGAACAATGATATGCATGATTCTTAAAATCGTCCATACATTTTGTGAGCACATGTAGACATATTTTCGATACTTTTCTTAATGAGTAGAACCCTTAGTTACTTTAGCCTATTAAGTGTTTTTGTGTGTAATCATCTGAAGATTTGTTTGTGTTGGCAGGTGTATGTTATTGGGTCACCACTTGAGAGGGTTGGAGAATAGACTGCATCTGAGTTGTGTCGTTGGGCTGTTGTAGGGAAGGTCATAGACATGTATATTCTTTTCTTCCTCTTTTTCTATTTATATCCCTTCTCCCTTCCCATAATTTTTTTTTTTCGTTCAATGAAAAAGTCTTAGTGGGAAATAAATAATCTCCTTGCTCCTGGCTCTCTTTCTCTTGATTGTGAATACTTATTTATGGGTCTTACTCTATACTTAGGTTGTATGAAGTGATTAATCTTTTTTAAATAATTAATATTAGATTAAGTAAAACTGAAACCCTTGTTTAACAGACCTCATTGATTTATAATTTAAAATTAAAAGAAACTATTATTTTAAGTATGGTTATATAAAATTGTCTAATTAAAAATTACAATGAAGATAATAAACAAATATATTTCCTTACTGTAAGTGGAAACACGTTTAAATATTTGTCTTAACCTTTTTATTTTAATGAAAAAATATTGTTAAAATTAAAAAAAGTGTTGCATAAAACAGTTACATTTTGTTAATTTTTAGAATATCTGTGATTTCCATTATAGTAACTAATAAAGCTAATTGTATTTATAAGAATAAAAATAATAGAAGAGTAGTTACACAAAACACAATTTAGTATTAATTATGTTTATAAGGGTACAAAGGAAAAATATGTATATACTAAATATTAGTTCGAAACTTTTTTATGTAATAATTATTATTGTTTTGGAATGTAGGTTTGAAGTCAACGGTACAAACAAGACTAATCTGATGTCAAAATCTACTTTAATCATTATTTATTTTTAAGATGTTTATGTTAAAGTTAATTATTTTGATAGATTTGACTCTTTGATTTTGATAATGATTTATTTATGGGTCGGATTTATGGTTGATCCGACTATCATTTGATATAATTATTTATAAGTATTAAATGTTAAAACTATCTAATTAGAAAATAACTCCAAAAATTATTACAACAAAATGTACTTGTTCTACCTTTACGGTATTGTCAATTTGTGCAATTTTTTAAATGAGTTTTTTTTTTTTACTTATCTATCTTTTCAAAATATAAATACTAATTTTCTTCTTATTCAAATAAGTCCTAAATATTTTACAAACTCATCACAAATAAAAGGCAATAATAATACAAATTATACAAGAAAGTTAAAAATACTTTTAATATAACTCATTTCCCCGTCAAAATTATTATTTAAAAGATTAAAAAGGTTTTTTTTTCAATATTAAAAAACCTAAAAAATTGTTTTAAATTTGGAGTATCTAAATCAAAATCACCCTAATCGAACTACAATTATAATTAAACATTTTCCAAATGTAGCATGTGATAATTAAACATTTTCCAAATGTAACACGTGATGTGAATTTGGTTTGGCCAATGTTGTTTAGCTTTTGTTAGGTGGAAGCAGACACATTCAGCAAGACATTGTTCCAATATTCTATGTTTTCGACATGTGCCATACTTATTAATTGTAGGGTCCTAATGTCATGTAATCATATTTCTTCTTCTCATTTATATCTTCTCTTTTCTCTGTGACTTACAGTTAAGTAATAACTACCATCTTTTCTTTCAGAGAAATCTATTGTCACCCACAATAAAATAAATATCTTTTTTCTGTACCATGGACCAATAATTTAGACCAACATTCTCTTATAATAGTTTTAGAATTTAATTACATTTTAACTTTTATATTCAAGGTAATAGTTCTCACATTTTGCCTTTATACTCTTATTCATTTTTATCAAAATATTAAATTTTAGAGAAATCATTTAAATACGATAATTTAATTTACAGATATAATACTTAATATTATTTAATGGGTGTTTTTGTTGTGGTCTCATACAAACTATAGTATAATGATAACGAATGATGGGGGACTCAACTTTAACTATTTTCTTCCCATTTAAACCTTTATAATTACTGGGATTCCTGTTATTTTGCATTCATTTAAATCATTTCAAAATAATTCCTTGACATACATTCTAATTTCATAATCAATTATTTAATAAGGAAATTATACTCTTTGTATTAAGAACATGAACTTAATCAACTAATCATCTTAAATTCTTAACTTTTAAAATCATTAGGTGAATTGTTTTGAAGTCGTTTCCGAGTTGTACATTTCATAATTTTTTTAAAAAATTTATCAATTTTAATAATTTGGAAAAAAATGCACTGTTTTGATAAAATGGATAAATTTCATAAAAATATAAAAAAAAAATTGTGATAACTTAGCATAATTTTATTATAAAAAAATTGTGTCATTATTGTATTATATAAATAGAGTCAAAAAGTTACACTAAGTTAACAAAACTTGTTCATTTTCATAATTTTTTAAAATTTATTCTCAATTCTCACTCTTTTATACTATTTATACATGGGATAGATTTTTCTCGAATAAGTCATTCTCTTTCAAATTAAATTAGTATTTCATTTTTAATTATTTTAATTAAAAGTTAGATAAGAAGTATTTGTGAAAGATATTTCGAGCAAATCATGATCTTAAAAAATACTTTTACTTATGGACAATTATATCAATGTGTTGAAGTCATCAAAAAATAATCAAATTAAAGGAGTGAAGAGCATATTGCCGTAATGAAGTTGAATGGGATGAAATGGTGAAGGGGAGAAGAATTTAAAGAAAGTGCTTTCAAGACATAAAAGGAAAGAATGACTACATTTGACATAATGTGAGTTTTAAAGCATTTCATTTATGTAATTTTTCTTTTATTTTATTAGAAGGGGGAAAAATATTCAAATGTAACGAGAAATTGTGAATACAATTTCAAACATTATGAGAACACCACAAACATGAAGAAATGAAAAATCTAATGTTGGTTATAGCAATTTGAGTCATCGTTTTCATTGATTTCTTTTATCAGTTCTTAGGTTTAATCATTCACTAAGTCCCTATTTTCGCATGGAATCTCAATTTCGTCCCTTTCTTTCTGAAAATATCAATTGGGTCCTAATTTTATGAAAATTGCAACAAATCGATCCTTTCCGTTAAATTGGCTGGACGGCGTTAAAAAAATTGATGAGTGGATGCTGTGATGACGAACGAACGCTCGTCCACCAGCGAACGAACGCTCGTTCACCAGCGAACGAACGCTCGTCCACCAACGAACGAACGTTCCACACTGGACGACCGTTCGTTCCACACTGGACGACCGTTCGTTCGGTGGTCGACGAGCGTTCGTTCGCTGGTGGACGAGCGTTCGTTCGCTGGTGAACGAGCGTTCGTTCGCTGGTGGACGAGCGTTCGTTCGTCATCTCAGCATCCACTCATCAATTTTTTTAACGCCGTTTGACACTATTTAACGGAAAGGATCGATTTGTTGCAATTTTCACAAAATTGGGACCCAATTGATATTTTCAGAAAGAAAGGGACGAAATTGAGATTCCATGCGAAAATAGGGACTTAGTGAATGATTAAACCTCAGTTCTTATTTTATCCTTGATAATTTACTTTATACAAAAATGTAATTTACATTTTTACAAAATTTTCATCTCCACTTTCTTCATCTATTTTCTTTTCAATTTTATCTTTTTAATCTATCTATCATTTCATCTCTAAATACAAAAATTATAAAAAGAAATTGATTGTTGAAGATGCCTGAATTCTTAACTAAAATATATATTAAAGAAAGAATTTAGTGATTTAAAAATATTTGTAACATTAATTCATAATACGAGTAAACTATTAATTGTAAATAGTAAATTTATAGACACTAAAACACTCTAATATGTTTTGTTGAGTTAGTTTATTTATCAACATTTTAAATAATATGGAAGCATAATCATAAAAAAAACACAATATATAAAGAAATTTACACTTAAAAACCATTTTCAAGGATTCAAGTGTAAAATTGAGACTTTTATAATGGTTAAACTTAGAAAAATAACCATATACAACAAAGAAAAAAAAGTAAAAAAACTTATAATCTCCTTAAAATTTTGAGCAAGAAATAATAATATTATTTCTTATATAACTTCATTCATTTATTTTGGATAAGAAAATATATTAAACGCCTATCTCATTTCCATTGAACTTATACGTCTTGTAACTCGTAAGCTAAACAAAGAAATGTTTTTATGCTATTCTTTAATCGTAACTGAAATTTGAGAGAACGATTTAATACAACATTGATCACACAACTAATGAAAATGAAATTTCGTTATTTTTTGATGGAAAAACAACACAAGCAACTTAATAAAATTCTTCAAGTAAAATTTTTCACTTTATAATTTACATAATCCTTTAATGAAAATCCAATTAAAACTTCAATTTTGATTGGAAGAAAGTACATCAAATTTTGTCTAAACAGTGCTTATCAGTACCTTAACTCCTGAAAACTAAACTCAGTATATCCAATTGCATCGACATGTTCCCTGTGATATATTCTTTGTAACTACACTATTGAAAAACTATGAACAAACATTACAAAATCTGTTGATTGTTCTGTCTGTCAAAAAAAATCAGAACAGATGAATCAGATAAACCAATATAAACTTATGTGCTAAAATGGCGAATGCATTGTAGCAGTAGCAATTCTCTTATGCTGAGAAGGTATATAGAGATCGTAAGGTGCCCAGAGAAAGTCCACTGAGCAAGGCTTCTTAGCATCAAGCCTTGTCCATGGCTTCCCTTTCCCACTCCAATGCAGCAAACTGACAGAACCAGGATGCAAAGTTCTGCAACTGTTTCTAACATTATCCCCTCCAAGACCATGTTGGTTCCATCTATGATCAATAGCCTCAACATCACCACCAAAAACTAACAAAAAAGGAGGGAGTGACCCTAACTTGTAGATCCTTCTCTCCTTTTGAATCTCCATCCACTTCTCAATCTTCCTTGTGTAATCACCCTCTCTCCACCTCAACAAGTCCATCACCATCACCCCAGTGTTGAAGTAGCAAGGCCTTTTCCCTTCAAACACCTCAGAGAACTCAGCACTGGACCAAAACTCATAGGAGAAGTATCTGGTGAAGTTTGCATAGCAATATTCAGGAGCACCAATCACCCTTGACCCTGTCAATGGAACCTTCCAAAGCTCTTGAACATCACCAACAACTATAACATCAGAGTCCAAGTATATAACCCTCTCAATGCAGGGATCAAGCAAATCAGCCAGGTAAGTTCTTGCATAGTTAAGCGGGTTGTCAAGTGCTTCCCTGATGGAAGGAGATATCAGGTTGCCAACAAGACTTTCCTCAAACACATAAACTTCAAACCTCAAGGAAGGAAAGGAGGTTTGAACAATCCTTTCAAACTCATCCCTGCTCTCCAATCTTGCATCTGATGCTATGAAGTGAAAGAACAGATTCTGAGGGCAGGAAGTGTGTTTCAACACAGAGTGCACTGCAGCAATGGACCCTCTCAAGTAGTGCCAATCAATGGTCATTGCAATATGCACAAGTGAAGGATCACATGAAGATGCCATTGGAACATTGCTTGAATCAAGCAGAGTACACTTTTTCTGGTTTCTGTATTCAGGGGCTTCTCTGAATTGCACAAAGGAATCAACTTCAACCTCAGTTTCATAACCAGCAAAAGATCTAATTCCATTGGCTGGAAACAGAAGAAAGCAAGCTGTGAACACAAGCACAAAAAATCTAGAGAGAAACATCACTATTCACTATTCACCAGTACCCTTTTCAATGAAAGAACAAAACGGATTGAGAAAAGAGAAATTGAGAGAATTGGATTTGAAAAAGCAAGAGAAAAGGCAAAAGGGTATGTTTTTATATACATATATAAACAAATGGAACACAAGAACTGAAACGCGTTTGTGACAGATAAACGCGTTTTCTTGTGATGTGGTGTGACCGAGTAAAATAAGTTCTACAAGGAACCTTCTTATTATGTGTGTTTCTACCATTATTACCTTTGTGTGTGTATTGAATTATTCTATGATCGAAAAGGTGAAGAAGAAAAACATCGGTTTCACCTTCGATGCTAAAACGTTTCCACTTTTTGAGTGAAAAACAAAAACCGGTTCCCACTTTCGGTTTGGTTCATAATGCATTGAAGTCAGATACCACTGTGACCACGTGCTTTGAATTTTCATCACAGTACATTGCACTTTATTTATTATTTTCCAGAATTCGTATCTTATTTAATATTCTTGGTTGGATACAAGGAACGTGTCTAAGTTCAACAATATTAATGTAAGAGAAATTTCAAATTTTATTCTCTGTCTTCACGTTTTTATCTCAGTTTTAAAAAATACATTTTAGTTCTAATCAATTATTAAAAATGAGATTTGTACATGTTTATACATTCTTAGACAATATTATATCTAAAAACCAATTTTTAACTAAAATTATGCAAAACTAAAGAATTTAAAGAAAAACCTAAAACTAAGCTAATTCTACAAAATTAACGACAAGAATACACTATCCTAGACTCCTAAGCACATAAAAATATGTAAAATTAGGGAGTTATCATTGTGTCTTAGTGCAGTAAGGTTAATCAGGCATTTAATTTTGTGCGGTCAAGTGTGGAAAATGGTGTTGGCGCTTGTCAGGATTGTAATACTATAAAACTTCGAAAAATAATATCTTACTTTAGGATCGTGACATTGCTGTTTCCTCCGAATGGGAAGAAAAACTGGGGCGATGGGAAGACACCACAGCTCGAGGGGATTGAGACATATATGGATGCTTGGGTGTAAATGTTTTCCGGTGTGTCTTTGTTGCTTCTAAATGTATGGGGCACTCTCTTCTCCTCCATTGTTGTCGTTCGCGTTCCTTCAGCTCGTATCGCTCGTCTACTTTCGCCAAGGGAGGGAAAGTACCTGCGAAGATACTCCGACGCTCAAGTCAGATGTGAGTTATATGGAGCCTCAGCTCTCAAGAAAGTGATTATATTATCACTATAGAATATTATCTAGAGTTCCTCTGGCATAAGTGGAACGTAGAGGGAACGTACCTGGACTTTTGCCCTGTCATTGTATTTATAGGCCAATAAAAATAACTTTACCTAAAAATGTGGTTAGTTACTCATAAATATCTTAACCGCTTAAAATATCTAAGATATTTTATCCAATAAATATCTTACGATACATACGATGCATGCCCCCCAAGTCCGAGTTAACCGTTCTGTTTTATGGACGTGGTAACTATAGGACTTATGAGTTTGTGGGAAGCTGTATTCGCTGTGTTAGGGAGCGTGTTTCCGGTCGTTGCTCATCTGTGGACTGAACGGCGGGTTTTATGGGTTTTCTTTTTGCCCTAGACCGAGCAGTTGAACGTTTTAACACCTGAGGCCAAGGATGACCGAGCGGTTGAGGTTGAAGGACCAAAAAAGATGCGAGGCCGAACGGCAAAAAGCTGAAATGCTTAAGGCCGCGAACGGCTGAACGATTGAGTGTTAGAGGCTGTGTGGCCGAACGATTGAATACGTGAGGACATGTATGGCCGAGCGGTAGAGGCTGTGTGGCCGAACGTCAGTGAGGCTGAATGCTGGAACGCTTGACGCCAAGGAAAGCCGAACGATTGAGGCCGAAGGGTTGAGGCCAAGCGACCGAACGTCAGTGAGACCGTCTAGCCGAACGTTTGAGGCCGAATGGCCGAGCATCGTGTACCTGAGCTGGCTGCTTCAGCGCCGGTTATAGCATACACACGTCCAACTGCTTGTGCTCTACCACCACCTCTCGGTTGATTCCTTCCAGCGTTTGGTGGTCTCATCACCGCTCGTCCCCGCATATTGCACTCATTCTCCAAATGTCCGCTTCTTCTACATCGAGTGCAAAACTTTCCACCCACTAGCTGAGGGCATGATGAACGGTAGTGTGGTCCTCCACACTGGAAACAAGTCACGTTTCCTTGTTGCCCAGACTATCCTATAGTGACCACCGCTTGAGACCCACTTGGATTTGATGGTTGTGTTGGACGAACGTAAGGTGTCCTTCTCAGATTAGCATTGTTTCTGGACACGATCAACCCCCTAACCACCTGTTGTTGCTTCTTCTGTCGTTCTACTTCTGCCACATTTTTCTCCAGTACTTTGGCTCTCTCAACCATGGCAGGAAAGGACTTGATGCACAAGCTGGAAATTAATAACTTCAACTCGCTTCTCAATCCATTTTCAAACTTCCTACACTGCCACTCCTCGCTGGTAGCCATGATATTGAAACGAACCAGGTGCTTGAACTTGCTGGTGTACTCCGAGACGGACATCCCACCTTGTACCAACTGTAGAAACTCCACTTCCTTGGCGAAACGAACGCTGTCAGGAAAATATTCCTCATAAAACTTAGTCCTGAAGACTTCCCAGGAAATGGGACTTTGAGCGTTCGCCAAAATAGCCTTCATGCTCGTCCATCAGTGGCTTGCTTCCCCGGTTAGTAGATACTCCGTGAATGCCAAGCGATTTTCGTCCGGGCACCTCTTGGCATTATAAACTCTATCCATATCACGCAGCCACTGATCTGCCTCATCAGGAAGGCACTTCCCATTGAATTTGGCTGGGTGGTGTTGAAGGAAGCTTTCCAAACTCCACTCGGTTGGATGGGGAGCGTTGGAAGTGGATGCTCCAGAGGTATTCCTCGTAGTTGCGATTATCTCCATTAATTGCCTCTGAGTTGCTTTCGAGTTTGCGCGTGCGGCTTCTAAACTCTGTAAAGCAGCCGCGTTCTGCTGCATCAAGGTAGCGTTCTGCTGCTGTAGCCTTTCTATTACTGATTCCAACAACCTGGTGTTGTCGGACACATCACGTTCGGTGGGTTGTGGTGGAGGAGGAGGTCTTGGTGCCATTAGTTCTCTAAGAAGCAGAGAAAACGATCGTTAGTCATGTTCAAAGAGTTTAAAATAACTCATCAAACACACATTAAGCACACAGCAAAAACATAATGCACTCATAACCTACAGTGTCCTTAAGAGAACAAAACTGCTCTGATACCACTAATGTAACATCCCCAAAAATATAGTAATAAACCATACATTAGAAATAATTACAATTGGTAATATATCAGTTCAGTCTTATACTAATCAAAAGTAACTGTACAAGATTAAGGGAAACATGACCGAACGGCTTACAAAAGTCAAGGTACCGATTTGTCAGATAACAAAAGGAGAAGGAAGTGACCGAACGGTCACTTCATACAAAACTACTATCTACAAACTGAACGTCCTACGGTTCGGCCTTTACTTCAACTTCTACGAGGTTC